TCCAAAATGGCTAAAATAAAACAAGTTATTACTAGAGCTTTAGTGTTCCTTAAAACTTCAGTTAGCCAGAACATTCTTCCTGAGGGATGCAGGTGACTGAAGTCCCACTGCATATCTCCTATCTCCTTCAACTCTGAGGAGAAAATCCAAAAAAATTTTCCTAAACTCTTCTTCCCCTATCTAGCCCTCATCTGCACATACAAAGCTGCCTTTGGACCTGACCACTGGCCAAGGTTTCCAAGTTTCCCAGGCATTTTTCCATCAAGGAATCTTCATGTAAGACTGAGAGAACTTTGAACCTTGGCGCCACAGGGGCCCAGCACATGGATGCTTGCTACAGGCCATGAAGAAAGGATGCATGAGCCAGTCAGCCAGTCAGCCAGCGTTGCCTCTGCTAGGGCCTAAAGCCTCTCTCCTTAATCATTCTGTCTACTTCTCTTCTTTCCACCTTCCCTGAACTGTACATGCACCAAAGGGTATACAGAGTTTTATTTCTCTTTGGGCATAATTCCACATTGCTCTCTGGAATGGTTGGATCAGTTGACAGTTCCCTGAACAGTTTATTCATGTCCCAATTTTTTCACATCCCCTCCAACATTTGTTATTAACCCCTTCTATCATTTTAGCCAATCTAATAGATATGAGATGATATCTCGAAGTTATTTTAATTTTCATTTCTCTAATCAATAATGATTTAGAGCATTTTTTCATATGACTATATATAGCTTTGATTTGGTCATCCCAAAACTATGTGTTCATATTCTTTGACCATTTATCAATTGGGGAATGACTCATATTTTTGCAGATTTGACAAAGTTCATCTTTTTTTTTTAAATAGTAGGGAAATGTTTTATAATCTGCCCCCTGGGACCATAATTGACTATGGCATTTAACCTGTATCATCAAATATTTTAATACTGTTTTTTGTCAATGTTATTGTTATCATTGTGTATATTTTTCTTGTGGTCTGCTGTCTTTGCTCTGTCAGTTCATACAAATGTTTCCAGGAATTTGAATTCCTCATGTTCATTGTTTTTTACAGTGCAGTAATATTCCATTATATTCTTATGCCACAGTTTATCTAGAAAATTCCAATAGATGGACCCACTTCCCCCAGGATTTTTTGTTAGTACAAAAAGTACTTTTATGACTATTGCTGTTCCTTGGAGTTGTATGCTCAGTTAGATGGGATCATTGGGTCAACCCATGCGAATGTTTTAGCAACTTTTTCTCATACTTATATTGTACAGTAGTTGGATACATTCACAGCATAACAAGAGTGTATTAGTGTGCCTGACTGTCTTTTGTCATCTTTGCAGTTTGTTGGGTGTCATTTGAAACTAGAATTTACATTTCTCTCAATTAGTGATTTGGAACATTTTTTTTCAAATGGTTTTTGATCATTTTTTAAAAAATTATTCTTTTGTAACTTCTCTGTTAGGAAACTGTTCTTAGTCTTATATATTTGTATTCCCTTTATGTCTTCAGAGATTTATTAGAAGAGTTTGATGAAAATATTTGCCCCCCTTGGCAGCTTCTCTTCTTATTCTAGGTGCATTGATTTTGTTCCTGCCAAAAAATTTAATTTTATGTAATTAAAATTGTCCTTTGCTTTTATTCCATTTTTGTTTTTTGATTCTTATCAACAGTTGTGAAAGACACTGCCTTCCTTTTTTCATTTTTAAAATGATGTGACTGTTTACATTTTGGGAAGCTAGGTGGCATGGTAGTTAGTTAGAGTACCAGACCTGGAGTCAGAAAGACCTGAGTTCCAATCCATTCTCAGACATTTACTGACTGATCCTGGGCAAGTCACTTAACCTGGTTGGCCTCAATTTCCTCGTCTGTAAAATGAGCGGGAGGAGGAAATGGTAAACCACTCCAGTATTCTTGCCAAGAAAACTCCAAATGGGGTCATGAAGAGTTGGACGTGACTGAAACGATTGAATAACCACAAAACTTACACTTAAGTTGCAACGAATATTTTTAATTCTCCTTTTATAAATGAGCAGACAGATCCAGTGACTCTTCCATGTTGACACCTCTCATAAGTCAAGGAGAGGCAGGAGAGATTCCAGCCCTAGTTTAAGTCCATTTTCTATTCACTATACCAGGCTCTTAAGGGGAAAAAAAAGGGTATATATCATTCTATTAAAACTTTGATCGAGGGTAGAGGCTTAATGGGTTGTACTTCTTGAGGGAGGAAGGGCAATATTGACAGTCCAGCAGTCATAGCTTTTCCTCTGGGTTCTTGAGTTGTCATTTACTCTTGTGTTGAGCCTACATAGGAGGCTAAGAGGAAAATGAAAAACTTTAGTTGTGATTTGGTTTCTTCTGTCTCTACTATGTGTTTTGGTCCTTCTTAGAAAGCCACACCATCTGTCTCATTCAGCTGTAAGTGCAGGTGAAATTGCATTGTAACTTTCTCCTTTAATGTTAGCCTTCTTGTGCCAGTGATTTGCCTTGTGGAAACAAAAAGTTGTATCTTAAAGTCGTTTGCATTTCTCCTCTATAATCCTAAACTGTGATATGGTGTAGGGACTGGACAATTCCTTACTACCTACCATATTTTGTGTACCCGTCTTTTTTTTTTTTTTAGGGTGAGGCAGTTGGGGTTAAGTGACTTGCCCAGAGTCACACAGCTAGTCTTATGTATCTGAGTTTGGATTTGAACTCAGGTCCTCTTGACTACAGGGCCAGTGCTCTATCCACTGCACCACCTAGCTGCTCCACCCCTATCAGTTTTACAAAGGGCTTTCTTCACAAAACCTCTGAACGGATAATTGAGGACAAGTCCTGTGTACTCGCTCTCTCTCTGTCTGTCTCTGTCCCTCTTTCTCAGTACACAATAGTATTATATTACATTCATTGATAAGCAGTATTTTGTTCAGCCATTTCCCCCACTGTTGGATGTCCCCTTAATTTTCAGTTCTTTGCTACAACAAAAAGAGCTACTATATAAATATTTGTGTGTGTATGGGGCTTATTGCTTTTTCTTTACAGGCCTAGTAGTGATATGGCTGGGTCAGAGAGTATGCATTGTTTAGTAACTCTTTATAGTTCCAGATTACTTTCCAGATGTCTAGACCAATTCACAGCTCAGGCAACAGTGCATTACTGTGTCTATTTTCCCAACATTTGTCATGTTCTTTTTTTGTTAACTTTGCTTAACCAACCTAATGGGTATTAGAAACTCAGAGTTGCTTTAATTTGCATTTCTCTAATTATTAGTGATTTGAAGCATTTTATCATATGATTGTTTTTAGCTTGGATTTCTTCCCTTTAAGAACTAACTTGTTCATATTCTTTGACCATTTGTCATTTGGAATGACTTATTTTTGTAGATTTGAATCAGTTCCTTTTATAGCTTGGTGATGAGACCTTTATCAGTGAAACTTGCTAAAAAGATTTTTTCCCCAGTTAACTGTTTCCTTTCTAATTTTAACCATTGGTTTTGTTTGTGCAAAAAACCTTTAATTTTACATAATTAGAATTAACTACTGTCTCTTGTCCATCCCTTGTTTGGTCATGAACTCATACCCTATCCATAAATCTAAAGGGTAATTTCTTCTTTGTACCTCTAATTTGCTTATGATGTTTGTCATATGTCCATTTTGATTTATCTAAGTATATGTAATGTGAGAGGTTGGCCTGTACCTAGTTTCTGCCAGACTGACTACTTAATGTTTTTTAAACTACTTTTAGGTTTTCCTGCATTTTTTGTTAAATAGTGAGTTTTTAATCCAGAAGTTGGGGTCTTAGGTTGCCCAAACGTGAGGCTCCTGGGCTCTTTTGCTTACGTATATTGGGGCCCTCATCTGTTCTATTGATAGACCTCTCTGTTTCTTAACTAGTACCAGGTTATTTGGGTGAAACTGCTTTGTATTAGAGTTTGGGATCTAATACTGCAAATTCAGTTTCATGGAATCTTTTAGAGATGCTTCTTCAAATTGCATGTATTGGTATGAAAGTACATGTCCTTAAATGTGATTAAATATGTTTGATAGAAGTTGATGTGATATAACTCTTTGTGATAGGAAGTCCTAGATCTTTCAATTGTCCTTAGACCTGCAAATGACTGATGGCTCAGGAAAGCTGGAGTCTTCGTTTTATCCCAGGATGCAGGATCTTCAAGGGATGATCGAGGTCTAGGCCAGTGTGGAGTAGGGAGGGCTTCTATGAGTGAGACATACTGGCTATGAGGAAAGATCCTCGGAGCTTGGGTTACTTTTTCAATCTTGCTTCTGTTGTTGCTAAGTGAGCTATGATCATGGTCAACCCATTTCACCTGCTGGAGCCTTGGTTTCCTCATCGATAAAACTGGGCCGGAACTTGCACTACCAACCTCATGAGGTGGTTGTCTGGAAATTTCTTTGAAACCTTAAAAGTTCTGCATAAATGAGTTACTATTTTTTCTTGCCCCTGTTAAGCAGTTTGACTCCAGTCAATTTTATTTTCAAATTTTGTAGATGATAAATATATTCTTCACTGTTCAGCACTAGTAGCAACTCTGCTTTAGATATTTCATAGGCATTGTCTTTGTTCTTATGGAATGGAGAAATAAAGGCTTTTAAAGGAAGTTTGTAAGCCTAGTATTTTCGTATTAAGTGTTATTCAAATAGAGGCTGTTGAGAAATCCTGAGACCTGAGGGAGATTGTCTTGGAAAGTCCAGATAGTGATTAATCTTTTCCCGTTTAAAAATTGCCTGGCTTGGTGGTTCACAAATTGAGAGGTCTTTGGTTATGGGGGGAGGATGTGAGTTGGGACATACAAAATGTGGTCAAAGGGCTGATTTTGAATTTTTGGTTGGAGATAGTTTTAAAAACTGGATTTATATCAAATGGCTTAGTTCAGGCTTAAAAGCAAGCTTTGCGTCCATTTTCCTTGAGTCATCCAAGAAAGGTTTTTCATTTTCAGTTTTTAACATGCCCTCTATGTGGGGACACTTATTGTTTACTCATTTTCATCATTAAAAGTCCTTTGTAAATTATATTCACAGTTGGAGAATGCTGGAGGGGACCTCAGCGATAGCGGGCACCATTATGAAGGGGCTGTTGTCATTCTGGATGCCGGTGCTCAGTATGGGAAAGTCATCGACAGGAGAGTGAGGGAGCTGTTTGTCCAGTCGGAGATCTTCCCTCTGGAAACGCCAGCATTTGCCATCAAAGAGCAAGGATTTCGGTAGGCTTTGTTCCCGTGTTGTGCAGGGGCATTTCAAGAACTTGGGAGGTTGGACTGACTTATTTGTTTGATCCTCGTAAATGGCTCCATGCTGTGCTCAGGGAGGTTTTGTTCGGAAGTTGTCCGGGCACCGAAATTTTCTAAGAAAACAAGCTATTTACCAGAAATGTCTGAGAGGTTACTCGTTTTTGAAAGCAAAAACAATCTAGGTTTATCTATTTATTTAATTTTTTAAAATGTCCTCAGTTCTTGTAATTCTCTTTCATGGACAAGCTGAGGGCAGCTGGTGACCCAATAGATAAAGCCCTGGGCCTGGAGTCAGGAACATGCGAGTTCAAATGTGACCTCTAAGACGCAGCTGGGTGACCCTGGGCAAGTCACTTAACCTTTATTTGCTTCAGTTCCTCATCTGCAAAAGGGGGATAATAGCCCCTCCCTCCTAGGGTTGTTATGGGGATCAAATGAGATAATAATTGTCAGGTGCTTAGCACAGTGCCCGGTGCTACATAAATGCTTATTCCCCTCTCCTTTCCCTATCCCCCTTTGTTACATTGCATTTCCTATGTTTTCTTATGTGTCAAAGTTTAGGGGTCAATATTGAAGTGTTAAGCAATATGCCAGTGAAGCAAAGTGGACAGGGGCTATCCTAGAACACTTTTCCTTAAAGAGAGAACTTTTAAAATTAGTCTATTCTGATCTCACACTAAGGAGATTTAGTTACTAAAATACCAAAAAGATCTCTTAAGTCTAACTCAGAGATAATTGCACAGCCTGATGAGCCCTGAGGACATTGTAGCAAGATTCTCCAGTATTCAGTTTTTGAGGCTTATTTTTTTAATAAGGTTTTATTGATACTTTACACTACCCTGCTATCCTGTGTATCTCCTCAGATCTTCTCCCCTTCCTACCTGCCTCCCCCATCCATTCTCAGAGAGCCACCCCGTAGGACACATGGGATTTTTTAGAAAGGAAAGAGTCAGCATGTTTTATTGATACATTGAAAAAGCCCCAAACTGTGTGCAGTGTGTGACACCTAACCCCAACCTCTTCTAAAGGGCAGTGGAGGGGGCTGGTTCTTTGCATCTCTCTCCTTTCGAGTCCCTGCTCTGACAGGTGCTCCTAGTCTTCATTGTAATAAGAAATGTCCACCAACAAAACAGGATTCTGTGAATAAGACAAGGCCAGAAGACTGGCTGAAACAAGGTGCTGTAAGAAAGCTAACCTGAGGAGCTCGTAACTGCAGGAATCCGAGAGAGCTTTAGGCAACATTGGTACAACTGGGCTGGATAAACTGGAGAACGGTAACAGGTGATTTTCTTGGCTAAGGTTTGTTCTTTCATTCACAGTGCTATCATCATCTCTGGAGGACCAAATTCTGTGTATGCTGAAGATGCTCCCTGGTTTGATCCAGCAATATTCACGATTGGCAAGCCAGTCCTTGGAATTTGCTATGGCATGCAGGTATTCTTAGCATCAGTGCCAGCTTGCAATTAGGGATTTGTTTTGAGAGTTGATGTGTGTTTTAGTCTGTAGTTGCAGCTATGCTGGTATTTTTTGTGCTTGTGATAAAATATAATTTGAGGTCATTAAAAATTGTACTTGATTTAAGGAACCAACCACATATTGCAGTGGTTTAAATAAAATGTCTCTGCCACACTGGAAAACTTTTTTTTCCTTCCTCTTCTATACTTTGGAAGAAGCAAATCACAAGGAAAGCAAGCCCATGTGAGGAGTTGGTTTATAAAACACGGTCACTAAACTCCAGCTCCCAGGGTTCACTAGTACAGATGCAGTCCCTTCCCTCTCTCTCTTCTACAGCTGTAATCTAGGCACATTTCATTGTCTCCGATGGGGACTTCCATATTTGATATAAGTTGAGTTTTCCCCAGAACTGAAATTTTCCTGTTTAATTTATTCACGTTTTAAGTTCTGGTTACTAGGCTGGTTTTTATTCCATTTTCTAGTATTGCTTTTTCTTTATCCTCTTCCTCTTTTCAATTCACACTTTGTCCCTGGGATTAGTTTAGTTTGGAGTGCTTTGCTTCCAATCTTTTTCCTTCGGGTACTTTCTCTCCCTCCCCTACTGTCCTACCTTTTCCTGAATTCTTGGATTTTACATAAGTTTTTCAACTCTTTTTTTCCTTTCTTTTATTCATTTACCCCCTCTCTTTTGTCCCTTCTTTCCCCTTTTAATTGCGCTATTATTGCAAAATCTCTTCCTTCTTTCCCTCCGACATTTTTTTTTTTTGTGAGGCAATTGGGGTTAAGTGACTTGCCCAGAGTCACACAGGTTGTGAGTTAATGGGTGTGTTATGTGTCTGAGGCTGGACTTGAATACAGGTCCTCGTGACTCCACTGCCCCACCTAGCTGCCCCTCTCCAACATCTTTTAAATAATTTTCTTTTACTGCACCTTTTCCTAAGGAGTTTCTTTGTTCTCTTCCTTATTCATTTTCCTTTCCAGTCCTCTGAATTTTATTTTGTGGTCTGTGGGTAATACATCTGTTTGTTCTTTGTTCATTCTCTGTGTCTCACAGGGGGTTACAGCTTTGGAGGGGTTGGTTGGTGTCTTTTGTGGTCAAAGAGGCCCAAGATGATATCACTCCGTCAGGGTTACGGGACAGTGTGTCTGACTGGGGCTGATGAGGCTCCCCCGAGGGTCTGGCTCAGATAGTCAGGATGAACATCTGCACTGGAGATGTCTCTAAGTTTGTGCACCTCACATTTCTTTTGAGCTGCTGTGATTCTGCTTTGCTTATAGAGCACAGCACCTTCGATGTGGGCATGCCATGCTGGGCAGTCCTGTGTCAGTGTCTCCCCTGATGCACAGTCTGTTCCAGAGGTCTTCAGAGAGACCTTGAGAATGTCCCTGGAACCTTTCCTTATGTGAGTTCTCTGGGGCAGCTGGTGGTGACGTGGATAGAGCACTGGGCTTAGAATCAGGAAGACCTGAATTCTGATCCAATCTAGACACATGCTAGCTGTATGACCCTAGACAAATCATTTAACCCTGTTTGTCAAATGGGCTGGAGAAGGAAATGGCAAACCTCTTCAGTATTTGCCAAGAAAACCCCAGATGGGGTCATGAGGAGTCAGACACAGCTGAGCAACAACTGTGAAAGCTTCGCGGTCCGCCAAGGTTGAGCCCTTGTTTCTGGTAATTTCCCTATTACTGCCTTTGTAGGTCCTGCTCTATCCTCCTTTCTTCCTCCTGCGACTTACTTTAGAAATTTCAATTCGTGAGGGAAGCAGTGTTGGCCAAAAGCAGCCCCAAGTGGGAAAGTTATCCGGCCTCAGTTGGTCATCAGGCAGCAAACATCTATTAGGCACCTACTGGGTGCCAGGCACTGTGCTAATTGCTGGGGATGCAAAAAGAGACCAGCCCTTAAGCCTGCCCTCAAGGAGCTCAAAATCTAACAAGAAGCATGCAGACATACAAAGCAAGCTCTATATGGGAGAAATAGAGATAGTGAAGAGAGAGAAGGCCCTGGAATTAAGAGGAGTCCAGGAGGGCTTCCTGTGGAAGGTGGGATTTTATTTGGGCCCTATGGAAGCCAGGGAGGTCAGTGGGCAGAGCAGAGACAGCATTCCCAGCATGAAATAATGACTAAATTCTTTTAATTAGACCCCCTGAAATGAGATGAACTTGTGTATCATTTTCTGGTACATTCATCCCTGTTCTGATATAAGCCTGGAGCAGTGTGTTCTAGGTTACTGAGACTTTAGTGGGAGTGCTGTGCTATAAGCAGAAACAACTTAATCATTTTGCTGCTAGGTTTTATAAATGTTAAGGAACAGCTGCCACCTTTTGGCTAACTAGGATTTGATTCTATCCTTTGTAGATTATCCTGACCCTGGTTTTCTTCTTCCTCCTTCTGACCCCTTGCCCATTCTCCTGGTGTCTAGTATCTCTTCTGCCTGCTCCTGACCTTTGACCATTTTCCTGGTTGCTAGACTGTGTGAAAGATGATGAAGTAGATATGTGTTGGTATGGGGAGGGAGGGGAGAACCCTAACTAATGGGGTTGAAACTAATGATCCAAATGAGTAATGTAAGATTTCTCATTTTACGTCTGACTCAGTCATATCGTGGTTGTGCTGTGTTCATTGATTTTTTTTTCTCCTCCCTATTGAGCTGTTTTAAATCCTTCTGAGGAAAGGGGTAAATTTACAGTTTCCATAAATGGCCAAATCAGGTTTGTTTGATCAAAATATGACCTGTGCGTCTTAATATCTGAAGGATACTTGATTCAGAAAGGAAAGCCGTTAGAAATCAGGAAGTGTGCAGATCGAGCTCTTTCCCTCTTAGCTAGCTCACAAGCTTTGAAAATGAAGGGAGGAAATAGAAATCAAAGCTTCACACACGTACAAGGGATACAGATGTACGCTCATTGTTCCTCTTGGTGGAGAGCACTGGCCTGTGAAATGCCCACATCCAATTTTGCTAGGTCGATTGTAGATTTTACTTGGATTAATTCTTGGGAAAAGAAATACAAATAGAAATACAGTCTTAATAATCCACAGGCTTCCTTTAAGGCAGCACGTCTAATAAAAAGGTTTTTGTATGCTAATCACCTTTCTTTGGCATACGATAAAAATAGATCTTGATTTAATTCAACATTGGGAAAGTACGGCAAGAATTTAATAAATGTACCTTTGTTGCCACATTTATTTCCTTCCTGGAATGCTAGGGAGTACAGCCAACTGTATTCCAAATTGCGTCAGTTGATAGAAAATTTGTTGGGGTGTTTTTCCCCCTGGTCTTACAGAGAAGTATAAATATCTCCCCTTCTTTAAACTTGCTTTTACAGTTGGGCGCTTACAGAATTCACTGATAGTTCCTTGCCCAAAAAGCAAGTGTTGTTCGTTTAGATTAGCCTGACTTTCATGTTGGGCTTGGGAGGCACCAGTGGGTCGCAGTGAGACTGGAATCAGATGGCAGGATTGATGGACATTTCAGTATGTTGGTAAATGAGTAAAGTATTGATGTTCATGTTTGGTATAGAGAGTTCAGTAGGGTCTGAAGGGCAGAGTAGGGAGAGCAAATGGGATGAGTGCATGTAATAATGATTATGATAACTGGCATTTGTAGAGCACTCGTAGGCTTGCGTGCCTTACAGATATTATCTTATTTGGTCTTCAGTGAGGAAGAGGCAGCTGGGTGGCTCATGGATAGAAGGCCTGAAGTCAGGAAGACCTGAGTTCAAATCCAGCCTCAGACATTTACTAGCTGTGTGACCCTGGGCAAGGCACTTAACCTCTTTGCCTTAATCCACTGGAGAAGGAAATGGAAAATCACTCCAGTATCTTTGACAAGAAAACATGAATAGTATGGTCAGTGAGGCCCCAAAGAGTTGGATACAACTCAACGACCGAACAACAACAATTACAGATGAGGAAACTCTGGCAGGCACAGGCAGAGGTTAAGTGATTTGCCCAGAGTCACACAGCTAAAAAGTGTTTGAGGGAAGGCTGGAACTCAGGTCTTCCTGATTCCAGGTGTGGTGCCCTCTCTCCCCCTTGTGCTACCTAGCTGCCCCATAAAGGTTGAGTACTGGAAGAGCAGGAGATCTGTGACAAACAGCCCAAGAAGGACCCCTTTTCTGCTCCCCCTGCTTTTTCAGCTGTTTGTTTGGGGCCCAGACCAAACAGAGCTGTCCTGGCACTGAGTCTCGTGGGCAGCCTGCATTATGACGAGATCGGAAGTGTTTTCATCCAGCCTTCTGGGCAGAGCTCAGAGGGCTTCATCTTCTCTTTGAATTCTAGAGAAGTCTGCTCTTTGAGTATTTCCTTGTGAATTGGAGTAGTAAAATCTCCTGCTATTGAGAACGACATTGAAGGCTACGTGGCCTATTGAAGGAGCTATTGGGGAAGGCCTGTCTTCTGGCATGTTCTCAATCCAGTAATCTGTGTTCTGTGTCCACATCTCCTGCATGCATGAGTGTGCCTGTTAGCCGATGACCACAGGGCCTAGAACCTGCGGGTGGGGCAGCTGTCTCAGAGCTTCTTAGTGTGAAATCCCCCACCAGTGCTTATTTGCATTTCACTTGAATATGATGGAACAGACACCCTCTGAGAGAATGAGCAGGGCCCCACGTGTGAGCCTGAGCCCAGACTGCCAGCAGCTGTGTGATGTGGGGCCCTGAGCTCCCAGCCTTGTGTTATGCTGAGGGAGTCACAGCACAAATGGACATGGACATCGCCACGTCCACCATGGTTGGCAAAGCCAGCGTGCTGTTCAGTCATGATAACTCTGATACGTTGGGCAAGTTCTGCTTTTCCTGGTGTAATTGTAACTCTTTTGTTTTGATAGATGATGAATAAAGTATTTGGAGGTACTGTGCACAAAAAAAGTGTCAGAGAAGATGGAGTCTTCAGCATTAACATAGACAACAGCTGCTCGTTATTCAGGTATTACAGATGTGTTTGAAGAGATGGGGATGGGAGACTCTTGGGATGGGGTGCCAAGGTTTCTTACCTTGTGACCTTTGATAGTAGTCATCCCAAGTTCGGGAGCCATATCCAGAAGGGTTTCAGAGCTTGGCATCCTTTCCAGACCAGGGCTGGTGGTGGGGTGTAGGGGCAGGGGCTGGGCGGGCAGGAGTGCCATGTAGAGTCAGGAAAAAGTCCTTGCCTCCGTTAGCATTACTGATTCTTCAATGAACCCTTTCTTAGGGTGAAGTGCGGTCACCTGAGGGCTGCTTTCTTGGTGTAGAGCATTAACAACTTCGGGAATATTTCTCCAGCTTTTTGTTTGGCCTGCCCTGGCCTGGCTTCGTGCAGGGTTCTAAGATTGCCTCACTCCCACGCTCCTCTCGTGGGTGTGTTCACAGCCCAGCTTCTCTTTGTTGGCATTACCTGCTGTATGTGTTGGGTGTGTTGTTGGGTGTCACGGCCTCCAAAGCTCTGCTCCTTTTTCAGACTGATGGTCAGCCTGTTCAGTAGCTTCTGCTGCATAGTGCAGGGGGAAAGTGAACTTCTGTTTTTGTTCCTTTTTTTCTTGAAGCCCAGGAATCTTGTTTTTGTTCCTGGCTGTGCTTTGTCTGCGTTTTTCTAGCTTCATTTTGGTGGATTTTTTAGGAGAGCTGCTCTTATTCTGGGTTGTCTTGTATCACTAGCATTTAACATTGTCTTTTGTTTTATTATTTTTTGCCATTTATTTAGTCTTTTATTTTTCCCCAGCTACATGTGAAAACAATTTAGTTTTTAAAAGTCATCTTCTATTATAAAACCATTCTTTTTTCCCCCTTGCATAAAGCCAGCATGATGCTTGTCAAAGCAAGTCAATGCATGGAGGGCATCACTTTGTCGTGTCTTTGTTTTTGTTTCATTTAGGAAGATCTGCCCATGCTCTAAAGCTTCCAGTGCTTTGTGCCTATATAGTTGGCTTCATAGTAGATAGATTTGAGTTCCTGAAATCGTTGTCTTATACCTTGCTCTGACTTCAGACTAATGATAATTCCATTTTCAGCATTGAGCAAAGGGGAGTGAAAATTTTTTTCTTTAAAAAGATTCATTTTGAAAAAAAAAATCTTTTTCCATACCAAGTCTGGAAAGGCTGCCTGTTTGTAACATACAGAGCAAGTCTGTAGTGGTTTGGGAGTCAAGGTGGTCTGGGTTGGCATCCCCGGGGACCATACTGCAAGAGAGGTCTGACCTTTGAGCCTCAGTTTCTTCATTTGTGAAATCAGGCTAATAACACTGATACTGCTGACCTTTCAGGGGTCATTGTCAGGAAAATGCTTTGTAAAATATCAACTTCTTTTGTAAGTAGGTGACATTACTCTGAGGGAACTTTTTTGCAGCCATCAGTTACTTTATTGACTTTGATTTGAAGGCCAAAGGATGCTCCCCCTTCACTGAGAAAGAGTGGTTAGCTCACCCATTCTTCTGGTTTTGGGGGTGTCTCCTCAAGGCTGGGGAACTCTAATGGTCAAGATGAGGAGAAGGAAACTGGCTCCTGGGCCTGGTCCTGTCACCAAGAGCATTTAGGGCCATCAGGCTGTTTGTTTTGCTTCTCTGGCCTCAGTTATATCTGAGATTATTAGCAGGGTAAAGTCAGATGGTCTATGCTGGTCTGAATGTTCTCTGAGTTTGTCATATGTACTTTATATTTTAGGAAAAATGCTAAATTATGACTATAGAAGGTTTTGAAAGTCAGAATTCTGACTAGCCTTAGTCTCACTGATCCTTTTTTGAGCTTGAAGGCACTTTTATTATCCCCCTGCTCAGTTTGGATAATGCTAACAATTAACAGCCATATTGTGGGCGTGTCGCTTTTTTCATTGCGTTGTTCTCCACCATGAACTCAGCCCCAAGCTGCTCTTCAGGGGCTCCCTTTTTCTTTTTCTTTTTCTTTTTCTTTTCTTTTCTTTTCTTTTTTTTTTTTTTTTTTGCATTTTGGTGAGGCAAAAGGTGTTGATTTGCCCAGGGTCACAACTAGTAAGTGTCTGAGGTCGTATTTGAACTCAGGTCCTCTTAACTCCAAGGCCGGAGTTCTATCTGCTGCGCCATATAGCTGCCCCTGCAGTTACTATTTTAAGACAAATTTTAAAGCTTGTATGTAACTCGATGTTGTATGTTACAGTGTTTGCATTTGACTCTAATTGAAATTGTATTTTCAGGGGTCTTCAGAAGGAAGAGATTGTGTTGCTCACGCATGGAGACAGTGTAGACAAAGTGGCTGATGGATTCAAGGTTGTGGCACAGTCTGGGAACATTGTAGCAGGTGTGCCTTTTTTAAACACGTGTGGCTTCCATGTTTTTTTGTTTATGTGTAGAGTGAAGGTGTATAGAGTGTTCTACTGCATTGGATTCTGTTGCTCGTTTTCAGTGTTAAATCAGTTAAACAACTACTTTATTTTATTTTTTGTTTTTGGTGGGCAATCAGGGTTAAATGACTTGCCCAGGGTCACACAACTAGTAAGTAGTAAGTGTCTGAAGCTGGATTTGAACTCAGGTCCTCCTGACTCCAAGGCCAGAGCGCTATTCAGTGCTCCACCTAGCTGCCCCTAGACAACTACTTTAAAAGAGAGAGGCAGGCACCTCATGCTCTCAGTTACATGACCCCAGGGCATCTTGGCAGGCTCCCTCCCTTCCTCAAAGGGGTTGGGCTTGACCTCTCATTCTTCTTGTAACTCCAAATGTAAAATCCTATGACTTGCAGCTTCATGCTGTAGTGTGTGCGTGCCGCCGAGTTGGCTTCTGTGACCCCCAGCTGACCTTTGCACACCCTGTCCTTGACAGTGTGAGCAGCCCGGGCCGATGGACCCTTGTCCCACCCTCGTCCCTGTGGGGGACTGTGCAGGGAAGCTTGCTGCACCCACAGCACAATGGGAAGGAACCACTCTAACTGTGCCCCTGATAGGAAGATAGCCAACATGGGGAGTGGTCAGATGTCCCGCACGCGATGTCTTTCCAGGCTTCTCTGCACACTTGGACTTCTGGATAAACGCTCTGCTCCTACCTTCCTGTCTTTTCATCTCTGCCTTGTAGAATCCCGAGCTTCCTTCAGAGCTCATCTCAGGCCTTCTCTTGCAGGAAGCCTTCCCTCTAGTGATGTCTCTAATGAGCCTTTCACTGCTCTCTCCTGGTTCTCCTGCTGACTTGGACTGCTCCGTCTCTGTCTCCTTAGTTTGCTTTTCATCCAGGTCATGCCTCCTTAGTGCAGGTGTCCCCCAGGCTCTACCCTGGGTCCTGTCCTTTTCTCTTCCCCCTCTGTCCTAATTCACTTGGTCAGCTTGTCAGCTTTCATGGTTTCAGTGATCTTCTCTGAAGATTCTTCTTGTCCACCCCTAGCCTCTCTGCCAGCCCCCGGTCTTACATCTCTGTAAGTCTGTAGTCTTACATCTTACAGCTGCCTTTCAGACATCTCTAACCGGATGTCATGTCCAAAACTGAACTCATGCTCTTCCATGACAACCCTCTGCTCTCTGTTAAGGGCACCCCGAACTCCCAGTCACCCAGGCTCCCAAACCAGGTGTTACCATTGACTTCTTACTCTTAACTTTTCATACCCCCACCCTCCCACCCTCCATAGCCAGGTAGTGGTCAAGCCTTGTTTTCACCTCATATATGCCCTCTTCTCTCCCCTGATACCCACCCCCCACCCCCACCCCAGGTGCAGACCCTCATCTCCTCTCACTTGGACTTTTGCCGTACCTGGGTCGGGGTGAGGTCCTGCCTGCCTGGAGTCTCTCCCATCTATCCTCCACTAACTGGCCACTCTGTTCTCCCTAAAGTGCTGGTCTGATGGTGTCCCTCTCCTGCTTAGTAGACTCCAATAAGGTTCCCTGTTCCAAGGTCAGACAAAAAAAGTCCTTTGGTGGTCCGAAGCCCTTTCTGCTTTTACGGTTTTCTACATGAAGCTCCAATCCCCTCTAGATACTCTTCCATTCAATGATTCTGTTCTCCTTATGTTTCCTGCATAAGACACTCCCTTCTCCCACCTCAGAGCCTTTTCTCTGACTGCCTCTAGTGCCTGGCCCTCTGTCCCTCCCATCTCTGCCTCCTGGCTTCCATGGCTTCCTCAGAGCCTTAGCTGTATACCCAGCTTATTCCAGCAACCTTCCTTATGCTCTGTAATCTTTGTGCTTTCTCTCTGAAATGATGCTGGTTAGCCTATCTCTTGTTTGCAGGTTGTCCCTCCCATTAGATCTTGATCTCCTCCATGGCAGCGCCTGTTTGGGCCTTTCTTTATATCCCTAGCACTCGGCACGGTGCTGATTGACTGACCAGTTCTGAGTGTTCTCTCCCTCAGCAAATGTCACTTGACTTTTTCTGTGTTGTCTCTTCTCGATAAACCCTGTGCCCCCAAGGCCCAGCACCTCAACTGTAGAAGGCACTTGAATGGTAGTTGGACTGGATTGAGTCACTCCAACAAAGACTCGTTACTATGGTGTTTTAATTTGTATATTTTCCATCCCACCTACTGCGCTCTACTTGTCCTCAAATTTGGAAAGGAATGGCGAGGGAAAAAAAAAATCAGTCTTTTCAAACATGGATAATTTTTTAATAGCTTGTAATATTATTTCTATGAAGGTATAGCAAATGAATCTAAAAAATTGTATGGAGTGCAGTTCCACCCTGAGGTTGGCCTGACGGAAAACGGGAAAGTGATCCTGAAGAATTTTCTGTTTGACATTGCTGGCTGCAGTGGGACCTTCACTGTCCAGAACCGAGAACTTGAGTGCATTCGGGAGATCAAAGAGCAAGTGGGGACGTCCAAGGTTCTGGTGAGCACCTTACGAGATGGGACTGATGTGCTGCTCTTTCTCATCAGACTCCATAAAATGCGTTATTTGCACGTGAAACAGTTATCTCTACTTAATCTTTGTTGTTCCAAACCTTTTTCATATTGTACTTTTTATCAGTAAAAATTTTTGAGCACATGCCTTCTAAATTTGTGTATTTACTTAATCCACATACGACTACACTAATCATTATGTAGGTTGAACAATTTACACAAAAAATGGAAATTTTTAAAAGATGAGATAAAAATGCAGTGCTGTTTGAGCCTAGAGGCAGTAGGGAACCAGTGGAGTTTATGGGATAAACAAATGATGTGGTCAGACCTGGGGCAGGGAAATCAGCTCATTTGAGCAGCTGTGGAGGAGGGGTGGGGAGGCAGGGAGACTCAGCTGCAGTAGTCCAGGCAAGAGGTGAGAGGGTTGGGGCAGCGCCTGCGTGAGAGAGATGGCCTGATGGTATTCCAGTGGAGATGTGAGCTGAGGCAGAAAGAAGCAGCAAACCAAGGCCGCTAGAAGGATGGCAGTTCCCTCAATAGAGAGAGGGAAGTTTGGGAATGGGAATGATGGGTATGAGGAGAAAGGGAATGTGCTACTCAGTGTTCCCCATCAAAAGATGGAAAGCGGGTGGGGGAAACAGCTCCTCCACTGACTTTTTTCTGCCTTGGGGTTCTGAGCCTCGTGGGCCGAGAAGGAGGGCCGAGATGCCTCTCCAGCTGCTGCTGGTACCCGGATCGGATGTGGGAAGTCATCGGTGGGCCAGGTGGGCTAGGGCAGGATTGAAGGCTGGGGGTAGTTACGTTGAAGAGAATTCCAGATTGCTGTGGGTGAGGTGGGACCCTTCTTCCCATCCTCTGATGGATCCTATCCCTGTGGGTCAGAGCCCGGGCTCCGCCTTTGGAGACTGTTGGGTTACAGGAGCAAATCCTTGATAACGCTTCTTCACCGAATTGGTTCAATGTTCTCATTGGGCTGCCTAAAACTAGTTACTGGTCATGGTGAAGAATGAGTGATTAAGAAATGCTTTCAGGCACGTGCAGCTTGCCTTAGCGCGGTGCTAGTTTTCAGCCTCTCCTCATACATTTAAAGCAGGTCCATTTGCCCCACTCTCGTGTCCTTTCTCTTCAGGTTTTACTCAGTGGTGGCGTCGACTCAACGGTTTGTACAGCTCTGTTGAATCGGGCTTTGGACCAAGACCAAGTCATTGCTGTGCATATAGATAATGGCTTTATGAGGAAGAGGGAGAGCCAGTCTGTGGAAGAAGCCCTCAAAAAGCTTGGGATCCAGGTCAAAGGTACGGCTACCCAGCACGCAGCCGTGCAGAGGCGGGTCCTTTCACACGAGGCTTCTGTTAAGTCCCAGTAAAAATCCCCTCTCTTACTGGAACTCTTTCCCAGCCTCTCTTCATTGAGTGCCTTCTCTGGATTAATTATTTCTTAATTATCTTGTAGATAGCTTGTTTGTGAGATTGTGAGCTCCTGGAGGGCAGGGACTGTCTTTTGCCTCTTTTTGTGTCCCCTGGGCATAACACAGTACCTTAGCATAGTAGGCCCTCAATACATGTTTATTGATTGATTCATTGTAGGATCTTAGAATCCATTTCTTGTTTCCTAATATAGCATCTTAAACAAAACTCACAATTACTTAGATATAGGAGATTTCTGTATTATTGATGATGATCTTTGAGCTCGTCTTTTAACATCAGCCCTGGGGATAGTCTTCAAAAACATTAGTTGTGCAAGAATTATTATTAAACTAACAAATTTGTGTTTACCCAGTTTGAATTTTATAACATCACATTTCTTTTGCCTTCTTGTTTATCCTCCTTATTTGTAATTCTGTAATTTCTCTTAGGTTGTTTTCCATCTTTCTTACTGGTACCATATTAGGACAGGAGAACCCAAGAATCTCCTTGTTTTCAGATTTCTCTGAATCACAAAAGTGGTAGAAGGAAGTCAGGCTGTCCTTTCTGTCTTTCTTAGAGGTAGATTACAATCCTTAGATATTTATAGTGCTCTGGTAGAGAGACCCTTGACTTTTCATTTTTAGTTAGTTAAAGTCAGTAGTTGATGACAAGCTGTGTTTGCTCTTCAGTCAGCTGGGATGGGTGGACGGTTGCCCAGTGTGAGCAGATGGGAAATGGGCGTAAGTTCTTAGGAAGCTCCAGTTGTGGGCCAGTTGTGATGCTCAGTGCTGGCAATGCCAGCTGCAGGTTGAGCGCCATGAACCTGTGTAAGTGAAGGGCTGTTGTGAGGGGGAGGATCAAAGGAGATAATATCTATATAAAGCCTCTTTCAGACCTTAAAGTGCTGTAGGAATGAATGAATGAATGAATGAATGAATTAAATGCAAAGCAAGACAGGCTCTGCCCTCCACTGGGGGAGATAACACACAGGAAAGGTTCCAGCGGCAAGTCCACTGGAAAGGTTCCATGGTCCTTTGGGTGATGCTAGCAGTTGGGGGGGGAGAGGAGCTGTGAGTCAGTTAATCAAGAAAAGGAGGGATTCTGAGGGGAGAGTGAAGGAGGAGTTCATGTTGAGCATGAGGTTTCAGCCCTTACAAAGGTGGCAGTGGGAGCTACAGTGTCATGTGTGAGGAGAGGCAAGAAGTCTGCAGAATACAGGACGGAGAGTGACAGGAGCGGGGCCCACTGTAACCTTGGCTCGATGGCATCTTTCCACCTTCTGTGCCTGCATGTGTGCTGCTGCACACAGCTGAAGTAGTTGTGCCGGTGACTGGCTCTGTTATAGGTTTGTGTTCTCTTAGCAGTTGGTCTCTCAGCCTGGCAAGGCAGCCCTTTCAACCCTCCTCAGTTGGTTCTCTGTGAGAATCAAGAGTCAGTGCATGAAAACCGGTATTTCAGGTCTGAGTGGATAACCTGGACGAGGAGTGCCATGGATTGCTTGGCGATGTTCTCTGGGCACCCCACTACTCGGGACTGCCTTAGATCCCTGATCCTCTGTAGTTCTGCTGGCTGTGCTAGGGACTGGATTCTAGGCAGAGAGACAAGGTGGAACCTTGCTTTTCTGGGGCTGGGCTAAGGGGGATGCCCTGGAATCCTTACAGAAAGTCTCACTGTCCTTTGTTCTTGAGCAGATGTGACTCATGCATTGCTTTAAGTGAATACCAGCAGCTCTGGAAAATGTGAAAGACCCTAAGAGTTTGGGAGGACGCCTTATTCAGGCTTTGATAGTTCTTTTAAAAACACCTATGTTTGTCCCACAGTGGTCAATGCTGCTCATTCTTTCTACAACGGCACGACAACTTTACCAATATCTGAGGAAGACAGGACTCCCCGAAAAAGGATCAGCAAGACGTTGAACATGACCACAAGTCCTGAGGAAAAAAGAAAGATCATTGGAGACACTTTTGTGAAGGTACTTTTCTAATTATGTCTAAGATGGCTGTCATGCATGGATTATAATACTTGAGAATGACGTTCTGTAGTGCTTGTCAGTGACTCTGGGGTGAAGGCATCACACACCTTTTAAGAGGTACCGTTGTCCAGAAGTGAACTTCTCTGCTGTGAGAGTTGGACAGCCCTCGGTGACAGTGGGGATGACTTCTAGGTGAGGGAGGGACCTGGTGCCTCTCAGGACCCTTTCAGCTCTTAGATTCTGGGATTCTCTGAGAGGCAAGTCGCTAGTTGGCTGGGCCTCAGTTTGCTCATCTGTAAAATGAGGGCATGGGACTGTGATTGTTGCACTCACTTTCTGAATCTAGGATTCTGAGAGTTTAGCACTCAATCACAGATGTATGAGGTTTCATCAAGTCTTTCTAACAGCACTGGAAAGAGTGCTTCTTAATATACAATTTTTTTTATTTTCTGTCATTGTTATGAAATTAGAAGTTGCTTGATTTTTCAAGTAAGTCCTTAAGGAACCCCCTAATCCTTCATACCTGCTTATTGAATTCAATATTAGCCCATAGAAGGTGTGATTGGAATGATAAATCTAAGAAAAACTAATAGAGTTCAAAGCCAGTCTCCATAATTTTTGGATATTAATGCTTTGCTTCATGACAGGTGGTCTTGGGAATTCACGATGTGGTTGATTGAGTTTCCCTCTCTCTCTGAAAGGGATGACTTGCACTTGTATCCCCAAGGCTTACTGGCCGTGCTTGAAAACCATGTTCGGCTTGCCTGCCAGTGGACTCTGATGCCATCAGTTCATTTTGGTGTATTTTTTCTCCTCGGTTGGGAATATAAAGGCTTTATAAGAAAAGCACCTGTTGAGTTCCGAGAGCTGCCTCTGAGAACAAGAGAGGGAGATGTGAATATTGTATGAGTGCTCATTCTGATGCTGTGAGACAGGCTGAGCCCTGAGCCAAGCCTGTCAGCGGTCAGACGGGACTGCTACAAGGTGGTAAGAGAGGAAAGAGGCGGCTCTTAGACCCTGACTGCTGCTTGCAGGGCCCTCCCTCTCCGGCTGCTTCGGTAAGGGATAGAAAAGCCGACCAGTTTGTAAAGAGGCTCAGCCTTTCAAGGTGAGAGCTACCCCCTTTGCCCAGGCTTCAGTCAGTCAGTCAGTCAATCAGTAAACATTTATTGAGCGCCTGCTATGTGCCAGATGTGGTGTGAAGCACTTTACAGTTTTACTTCTGAATTATCGCTAGTTCTTCCTCCTTTGGTGGCTAGGGAGCTCCTGCTGAACATTGTGCCTGGAAGGCTGATGGAGCAAGCCCACCTCCTGTTCATACATCCTGCTTTCCTGCCTGAGGTGCAGGTGCTGCTGGAGGGGAAGAGGCATCCTGCTTGCTGAAGTGTTTGTCAGCGTTCTTAATTCTGTGGGCTCCAGTTCCATGGTGTGAGAGTGGGAAGATTGAGTGGGATTAGTGAGACTTTAATAGGGAAAAAGAATACTTCTGTTTTCTAGGTAGGCAGGATGGGCCTAGTGTTGTGGTGCGCTTGTAAACTGGGCTGACTCGGCCGCAGACAGATCTCCATCTGCTTGAGCTGCGTGTCCATCCTCTTGGTTACAGATTGCCAACGAAGTCATTGGAGAGATGAACCTGAAGCCAGAGGAGGTTTTCCTTGCCCAGGGAACTCTAAGGCCTGATCTCATTGAAAGTGCATCCCTCGTTGCGAGTGGCAAAGCCGAGGTTATCAAAACGCATCACAACGATACAGAGCTCATCAGAAAACTGAGAGAGGAGGTAAGCAGACGGGACAGCGAGGCAGTCATTCGGAGGGAGCGTGGGGGCATTGGCACAAACTTATCCCCACCCTGGGAAAAGCGCAGGGGCATGCCCTTGCTCGTGAGGGTGTTGACAGTGCCAGCTTCACCTGGGAGATGCACCAGGCACCACAGCGAAGAGAAAGAGTCCTGGACCGAGAGGCAGAAGGCCCGGGCCCAGGCCCAGGCCTCAGCTCTGCCTCGTAGTGTAGTAATCGTGTGACTTTTCATAGCTTTGACCTCTGTGAGCCTCAGTTTTCTAGGAGGTTCAACTAGGGTCATTTCTGGATCCCTTTCAGTTCTAACATATGATCCTATTATTTCAGGCAACATTTGCTAATGAAAAGACTGCTTTGGTTGCAAAAAAAAGAAGTGTGTCTTTTTAAAGATTCAGTTTAATTTTATTTTCAGTTACATGTTCTTTTCCCCTCCCCCACTCATTGAGGAAATAAGAAAAACAAAACCCTTTACAGATAATGTATAATGAAGCAAAGCAAATTCCCATATTTGCTTTGTCCCAAAAAATGCTTCAGTTAGCGCCCTGGAGTCCGTTAATCCTCTCTGTCTGGAGGTGGGGGCGTGTTTTATCATGAATCCTTCGGAGTCGTGGTTGATCATTTTGTTGATCAGAGTTCTTAAGTATTTCAAAGTTGTTCATCTTTACAATACTGTTTTGTCTAAATTGTTCTCCTTGTTCAGCTCACTGCACTTTACCACCAGTTGATACAAGTCTTCCCAGCTTCTCTGAAAGCATCCCCTTCATCTTTTCTTCTAGCACCGTAGTATTTCATCATATTCATATACTGTAACTTGTTCAGCCTTTCCCAAATTGATGGGTGTCCTCTCATTTTCGAATTCTTTGCTACTACAAAAAGAGCTGCCAAACATTTTTTTTAACATGAGAAATATTTTTATATATATGTATGTGTATAATTTTTGTGTAGATATGGGTACTTTCCTTCTTTCTTTGCTCTCTTTTGAGTATAGACTACTAGTGTTATTATTGGATCAAAGGGTATGCCCAATTTAATAGCTTTTTGGCCGAGTTCCAAGTTGCTTTCCTGAATGGTTGGACTGGTTTACAGATCCACCAACAATGCATTAGTATACCTATTTTCCCACAGCCCTTCTAGCATTTGTCATTTTCCTGTTTTGTCAACTTTGCCAATCTCCTGGGTAGAAGTTGTTTTAATTGGAGTTGTTGTAGTTTTTCATTTCTCTAATTATTAGTGATTTAGAGCATCTTTTCATGTGGGTATTGATAGCCTGGATTTCTTCCTCTGAAAACTGCCTATTTTTGTATTTGCCAGTTGAGGAATGACTCAAATTCTTATAAATTTGGCTGAATTTACTTCTTTCTTGATGCGCTGTCCAGGACCTTCCTACCGGGGAATGCCACTATGGTTGCAGGTCTCCATAGTATACTTTTGAATTTGTGACTCAGAACTAGGTAGTGCACACTAAATCTGCCAGTTGGCATCTGTTCCTGCACACAGTGCCTGGTATTGATTTGGGACCCTCCTCTTGCCCTGGTGCAAACCCTCTCCCTGGGAGCTGGTGTGCTTCTGGCCACCCCCCATCCCCGATGTCTGTGGACCTAAAGTTTCTCACCCCATGTTGACTTCGGCTAGAAAAACAGCTCATTGACCTATTCTTGGATTTTCCCCATCAAAATCTGGTCTGGTGTGTTTCCTAGATCTGTCTTGAATAATTGATGCAGAAGGGAAGCTTACTGTGACTCTGCCATCTTGGCTCTCTAATTTATTTATGCTGTCGACCTGTATGTCTAAATTGTGTGCTTATTTGGAGCTTGCTGTGCTCTGTGCCTATTTTCTGCCTGTTTACCTAGTTTTCCAGCGTTTTCAGCAGCTTTTGTTGAGTAGTGAGTTCTTTCCCCAGTAACTCTGATCTTTGCGTTTATCGTTGCTAGTTTGATGTGCTAGCTTGCTTACGTGTATCGTGTACCTAATCTCCTCTGATTAACCTTTTTATTTCATACCCAGTACCACATTGTTTCAATGGTTATGGCTTTGCAGTATAGTTTGAGAGCTGGTACTGCTACTCACTCTTCCTTCTCACTTTTTTTCATTGATTCTCTTGACATTCTTGACCTTTTGTTTCTCCCGTTGGATTTTATTTATTTATTTATTTTAGCTCTATAAAGTAGTCCTTTGGCAGTTTGGTTGGGA